ATGTTCTATTGATTTTTAATATTATAGGCAACATATCTCTGCAGATTAGGAAATAACCTAAGTAGAATAATAAATTATCTTTTCCATTTTCAAAAGCTACATTACAAAACTAGGCTATAAAACTTTTGATAGATACTCCTTGTTAATGAATTACTAAAAGTAAACCATAATAATCCATCAAAGATTAAACTGTAAAATTATTTATGTTCTAAAACAAACCATAAGATTTTTCATTTCTCTTGGTTTTATTAAGTATATAAAGACAAAGCAACAGAACTAGAGACAGACAACTGGAGGAAAGAAGAAGAGAGAGTATGAAACCAGTAAAAAATATTTTTTATTAGAGCTTGAAAATTTTCATTTAATTGCTCTGAAAAGGGAAAAAATTTGGAAGTGATGCCTGAAACAAACACGATAAGGAATTTCCGATACATCAATCAATACCTGTAGATCTTGTACCTTCCTCACTGCAGTAAGGCATGTGTGCTGCATTCTTCTCTTGCATTTAAAGTCTACAAAAGGCAGGCGCAGTGGCTCGCGCCTGTAATCCCAACACTTTGGGAGGCTGAGTTGGGCACATAACTTGAGGTCAGGAGTTTGAGACCAGCCTGGCCGACATGGTGAAACCCCATCTCTGATAAAAACACAAAAATTATCCAGGCGTGATGGCGGACGCCTATAATCCCAGCTACTCGGGAAGCTGAAGCACGAGAATCACTTGAATCCAGGAGACTGAGGTTAGGGTCAGCTGAGATTGTGCCACTGCACTCCAGCCTGGGCAACAGAGTAAGACTCTGTCTCAAAAAAATAAAAAAATAAATAAAAATAATATAAAGTCTACAGAAGTGCTCATGAGGGCAGAACATTTTTTAAATGAACCAAAAAATGGCTTGATTAAAAATCTTCATGGCCGGGCGCGGTGGCTCACGCCTGTAATCCCAGCACTTTGGGAGGCCGAGGCGGGCGGATCACAAGGTCAGGAGCTTGAGACCATCCTGATGAACATGGGGAAACCCCGTCTCTACCAAAAATACAAAAATTAGCTGGATGTGGTGGTGCGCGCCTGAATCCCAGCTACTCAGGAGGCTGAGGAAGGAGAATTGCTTGAACCCGGGAGGCGGAGGTTGCAGTGAGCCAAGATCATGCCACTGTACTCGGTCCTGGATGACAGAGTGAGACTCCATCTCAGAAAACAAAACAAAACAAAACAAAAACAAAAACAAAAAACTTCGCAAACAGCTCTGAAAATGCTCACCAAATAAAATATTCACACATTTTTATATGTAACTCAGAAGGTATAGTTTCAAAGAGCATACACTATACCTCCAAAGTGGTTATTAATAATTTTTAAAGACTACTTCAGAAATACTTTTGAAAACAACTGTTTAAACTTCCCATGTTATAACTTTAATAGCATTAAATCAGAATCTAGTCCAAAGGAAACAGATCTTAATAAGCCAGAGGGTTCAAGTGACTTGCCTGGGTCTAACGTTTGTGTGTTCTTTCCACACCACCACAGGTGGAATTTAGAAATCATCAAAACAAAATAAATTAACACGTTTAAGTGTTTTATCACCAAATCTAGTAGTAGGAAACTTTTCATTACTGATAAAATGTAGTCATGGAAATTTACTAACTATGCAAATATAAAGGTTGCCAAGTTAACGGCTTATCTTACTGCATAAGCCACCAAAAAAACTAAACTAAAATTTAGTATATGAGCTACTCCTCTCCCTGTGACTGTTCATCACTATACCATCATTTTATAACCCCTCTCTTCCTTTTTCTCAAAACAATGAAACAGTAAGAATTATTTTATAAGTAAAGTACTGGAATACTGGTGGGGCTGGGGATGGGGAAGGGAAGAGGATGAATGGAAACCTGATTTATCCAAAAATTACCCTTAAAGCAACATTTTAGTTAACATGAACTTGACTACAGTTTACCTCCTTTTATTGTGCTTCACTTTACTGTACTACTCAGATACTGCACTTTTTACAAATTGAAGGTTTGTGGCAACCCTGCATCAAGCAAGCCTATCAGTGCCATTTTTCTAAAAGCATGTGCCACTCCATGTCTCTGTGTCACATTTGGTAACTCCTGCATTATCTCAAACATATTCATTATCATTCTATCTGTCATGGTGATCTGTGATCAGTGTTCTCTGATGTTACTACTGTAACTGTTTTGGGGCACCACAAACCAGGCTCATATGACAGAGGGAACTTAATTGATAAATGTGTGTGTGACTGCTCCACCAACCAGCATTCTCTCTCCCTATTCCCTGAGATATAACAATATTGAAAGTAGGCCAATTCATAACCCTACAATGGCCTCTAAGTGCTCAAGTGAAAGCAAGAGTTTCAAGTCTCTCACTTCAAATCAAAAGCTAGAAATAAGCTTAGTAAGGAAGCCATGTCTAACGACCTGACAGCCTAAAGTCAGGTGTTCTTGTGGCAAACTATTAGCCCAGTTATGAATGCAAAGGAAAAATTCTTGATGGAAATCAAGTTACTCCAGTGAACACATGAATAATAACAAACTGAAACAGCCTTATTGCTGATACGGAGAAAGTATGAGTGATCTAAACTGAAGACAAACCAGCCACAACATTCCCTTAAGCCAAAACCTAACCCAGGGTAAAGCCCTAACTCTCTTCAATGCTATGAAGGCTTAGAGAAGCGAGGAAGCTGCAGAAGAAAAGCCTGTAGTTAGAGGATGGTTCATAAGGTTTACAAAAGAAGCTATTTCCAGAACATAAAAATGCAAGGTGAAGCAAGTACTTATGCAGAAGCTGCTGCAAATTATCCAGAAGATCTAGCTATTATAAGATCACTGATGAAAGTGGCTACACTCAATGACACATTTTCAATGAAGACAAACAGCTGGGAAGAAGATGCCATCTAGGACTTTCATAGCTAGAGAGGAGAAGTCAATACCTGGCTTCAAAGCTTCAAGGCCAGGCTGACTCTGTTGTTAGGAGCTAATGTAGCTGGTGATTTTCAGTGGAAGCCAATGCTCACTTACCATTCTGAAAATCCTAGGGCCCTTAAGAATTATGATAAATCTATTCTGCCTGTGTTCTATCAATAGAACAACAGAGCCTAGATGACAGCACATCTGTTTACAGCACATGGTTTAGTGAATAATTTAAGACCACTGTTGAAACCTGATCCTCAGAAAAAAAGATTTCTTTCAGAATATTACTGCTCATGGACAATGCACCTGCTCACTCAAGAGTTCTGGTGGAGACACAAAAGGAGATGAATGTTTTCATGACTGCTAACACAATATCCATTCCGCAGTCCATGGATCAAGGAGTAATTTCATCTTGCAAGTCTCATTATTTCAGAAATAGATTTTGTACATTTATAGCTGCCATGGATACTGATTCTCTAATGGATCTTGGCAAAGTAAATGGAAAACCTTCTGGAAAGGATTCATCATTCTAGATGGCATTAAGAACACTGATGATTCATTGGAGGAGGTCAAAATATCAACATTAACAGGAATCTAAAAGAAGATGATTCCAACCAGCACAAATGACTTCAAGGAGTTCAAGACTTTGGTGGAGGATGTCACTGCAAGTGTGGTGGAAGTAGCGGGAGAACTAGAATTAGAAGTGGAGGTTGGGCATGGTGGCTCATGCCTATAATCCCAGCACTATGGAAGGCCAAGGTGGGAGGATCTCTTGAGGACAGAAGTTCAAAACCAGCCTGGTCAACATAGTGAGACTCCCTCTCTACAAAATACAATTAAAAAGTTAGCTGGGCATGGTGGCATGCACCTATAGTCCCAGCTACGGGGGAGGCTGTGGAAGGAGGATTGTTTGAGCTCAGAAGTTTGAAGCTGTAGTGAGCCATGATTGTGCCACTGCATTCCAGCCTGGGTGACAGAGTAAGACCCTGATTTTAAAAAAAAAAAAAAGGTACAGCCTTAAGGAATTGCTACACTCTTAAGATAAAACAAACAGATGAAGAGTTGCTTCTTATAGATAAGCAAAGAAAGTGATTTTTTTGAGATGGAATCTACTCCTGGTGAAGATGCTGTGAATACTGTTGAAATAACAACTAAAGATTTAGTACAGTGTATAAACTTGGTTGATAAACCAGTAGCAGGGTTTGAGAGGACTGACTGTTTTGAGAGAAGTTCTACTGTGGACAAAATACCCAAAGCATCCCATGATAAAGAGAAATCTTTCACAAAAGTCAATCGATCCAGCAAGTTCACTACCTTATTTTAAGAAACTGCCACAGCTACCTGAGCCTTCCAACAACCACCACTAGAATCGGTCAGCAGCTATCAAGAGGGAGATAAAGACCTCCCACCAGCAAAAAGATTATGACTTGCTGAGGGCTCAGATGATGAGTAGCATTTTTTACCAATGAAGTATTTTAAAATTAAGATGTGTACTTTTTTAGACATAGTACTATTGTACTCTCAACAAACTACAGTGTAATACAAACATAAGGTTTATATGTACTGAAAATCCAAAAACTCATCTGTCTTTATTGCAATATTTGCTTTTTGCAGTGGTGTGGAACCAAACTTGGAATATCTCTGAGATATGCCTATATTTCCTTGATTCCTAATGTGAATATGATACATGTGAAAAATTGTGAAAAATGAATCTAATAAATAATTCAAACTATGTAGATAATAAATCTCAAAACCATGTATACTGATACATTCTTTGATATATCCTACGACAAAACACAGCTTAACAAAGAATATGTAATGCGCACACACGCTAAATACCTTTCATCTTGCAGATATATTCAGCTCTCTACGTAAGAAATACCCTCGGAAAACATTTATGCATATTTTAAAATGAGAACTTTCCCACTTTACACAGCAGCATTTTATAATAAAATACTGATGCAATTGTTTCAGGATTCAAAAATATTTATTTCATTACAACCCTGTTTTTCTTGTTAGAATCTTAAGCAGGAAAAAAAAACTGACAAACCCAACAAACAAAAACATAAATTACCCACTGTTTTATCAATGCTTTAATATAAATTTTGCAAAGGAGGAAGGGCTCCACAAAATATACGCCCTGTATAAGTCAGAGAAGGTGCAAACTTTCAACCCAATTAACTCAGGGTCTGTTTCAGTTTTGAAAAGATCATAAGCTTAAAAAAAAGAAATCTACGCCGGCTGAATTTTTACAAAGCAGGAATGAAATACTGGAGAGAGACATCTTCTTGAACCAAAACAAGCTGAAGAAGACTATTGTCCCAAATATTGCATAAGGCCATCGTGGGATTTATTTGCTGTCCCTCCAAAAACTGCAGGAGCTTCCGATTATCTACCCGCACTTGCACCATGCTCTCCAGGTCTCTGTGTGGAGGCACACCAGCCGACTCCGGAGGGTTTCCAAGATTTTTAAAGTAACTTTTAATGGACACCACCTCCGTCTCCATACTCAGGGTCATCCTGCCCCTGAGGTTTGCTTCCACCAGCACGTGATCGCCCACGTTCGCCATCCTCTCCACGATGCTCCTCAGCGTCCTCCAGCGCGGCAGGTGGATGCTCGCGTCGGCGGCGCGCAGGCTGGGCGGCGGGCAGTCTCGCCACGCTCTCCGGGGAAGCACCTGCACGGGCAGATCGTGCACCACGCTGCGAGCGCGGCCCAGGGGCGAGGCCAGCGCCACCGCCACCGTGAGGCAGGGGCGGCGCCTGTGGGTCAGCTGCAGCTTCAGGGACGACGCGCCCGCCGCGCTTCTCGCCGCCCTGGACAGGTGCTCCGCCGTCAGCTCCAGGTGGATCTCATCGAGGTCTTCCGAGGCACCCTCCATGCGAAACTGCTGGAAGGCCCCCCGCCGCACCTCGCACCACAGCCCGGCCTCGCACCACAGTCCGGCCTCACGGAGGCCGCGGAAGCCCGCGGGGCCGAAGCACAGGCTGTCAGGGCGCACGCGGAGCACGCAGACCTTCGCCAGCCTCGCGACGGTGCCGCTGACATGGATGAACAGCTCTAGACGGCCCTTGCCGGTGAGCTTGGCGCGAAACTTCATGACACCACAGCGAAGGCAACTCGGGGCCTCTGACGGGGATGCCGCGTGCCACAAGTCCTTCCGGTCCGCTGGGGTCCCCGGCGCTGCCCTCCCCGCCCTCCCTCCGGGCCCCAGCAGGGCAGGCACTCGGGTTCCGGGCTCTGTTCTGGCTTCCGCAGCCCCAGGCCTGGAGCCGACGCCGGGTGGGCGGGCCAACGCCGTTCTCACCTGCCCGCCAGCCCTCTCACAAAACGCTTCCGTTTCCGCTCCGGTTATGAGAAGAGCAGGCATTCCACTGCTGACACTCCTCAGTATTCTCGCCACTATGAAGACAAAGTCATCACTCAGATAAATAACCACTTTTAATCTCTATGGCATACACACTGATACCATCTTCATCAATCGTACATGAAGATATAGTTCCACGGGTCGTACGAAATTATAGCATACTAGGCACACATTTTACAACCTCATCTTCACACATAAAATATGTAACAGGCATCTCTCCATGTTGGTGAAACAAATCTACATCATTTTCATGGCTGCTCAGTTTTCCAATGTATAGAGTTAGAATACAAGTGGCATTGAGATGATTTCCAATTTTTTGCTATTATGAACACAATGAATATTTTTGTACAAAATAAGTTTTGCCCATTTACCCAAGTATTTCCTTGCGTTAAATTCCGAAGTGAAGTGCTGGTCAATGAATGCACTTTTAAAATCCTAATAAATATTTTCAAACTGGTCTGCAGAAAGCTGCGTAAACACTCTAGCCCACCAGCAACACTGGGTATTAGCAATCTGTTTCATCTGTGGCACTCTGGCAGGCAAAAAAAAAAAAAAAAAATTCAACTTGCACTGTGTGTGAATTCCATTGTATGGCCTTCGCATCTTTTTATTGAGTTTACTTTTCTTGATTTCAAGATATCTAGCAAGAACATTAACCCTCTGTCCATTACATGTACTGTAAATATCTTCCCCAGTTTATCATGTGACTTTTCACACTGTTTTTGGTACTCTTTGCTCTTGGGAAATATTGAATCTTTTTTTATGTCAAACCTATTGACCTTTGCTCTACTACTTCTAGGGTCATGCTTTCAAAGTCCTGTTTCTGGTACTTTAATGTTATCTGTTTTTATGACTTAGTTGTTTGACTCAGTTGAAATCTTGCAGTACCGAATACCTAGCTGATACACACAATTCACTAAACAATCCACTTCTCCACTAATCTGAAATGTCAATTTTATTTTAGACAAAAAATTCTCATTTTTGCCTCAATGTTTCCTGGCCCTCTCTATATTTTCTCCCACTGCCCTATCTTGCACCTGTACCAGCGATTTAATTTCCATATTATATTTCAATATCGAATAGGACAATCTTTCAGAACTTCTCTCATTCTCTCACAGATATTGCTCCAGAGGAACTCTAAAATATTTTGTCAGAGTCTAAAAATAATCTTCCTGGAATTTTGCTGGGAATTATCACCACCCTGACATAGTACATACTTACACTTCTTTGTTTGCTGTCTAGCTCTAACCACAATAATGTAACTTAGAGGAGTTCTTATTTGTTCCGTATACCACTGGACAGCCAGCATTTAGAACAGTATCTGCCATGCAACTGGTGTTCAACACAAATTTTTACATGAATGTATGAAATGTATAAATTGCAAGGTAATTTCAGGATATTTTGTATATAAAAAAAATAAATATATATATATATATATATTTTTTGGAGACAAAGTCTGACTCTCATCGCCCAGGCTAGAGTGCAATGACGCGATCTCAGCTCACTGCAACCTCTGCCTCCCGCCTCGGCCTCCTGAGTAGCTGGGATTACAGGTGCCTGCCACCATGCCCAGCTAATTTTTGTATTTTTAGTAAAGACGAGGTTTTACCATGCTGGCCAGGCTGGTCTCCAACTCCTGATCTCAAGTGATCTGCCCGCCTTGGCCTCTCAAAGTGCTGGGATTACAGGTGTGAGCCACCGCGCCTAGCCAGGATATTTAAAATATTTACATTAAATCCTCCCACTTATTCAAACCATTTTTTTTGACTGTCAATGAATTATTCAGTTCTGTTCTTGGGGAGTTCACATAATATATAGTATCTTGAAGTCAGTCAAGTCACTGAGCTCTCCTGAAATAATTTTTCAACTGATCTTTTATGTTTCTTATGTAGAAAATCTTACTATCTTCATGTACTATAATTATGGCTTTTACTCTTCAAGGTTTATGTCATTTATTTAACTGACATTGTGTTTGATGTAGTTTTCAAAACACTGCTGAATAACAGTGGTACTAGCATCTGTCTTATTTGTAACTAATGAGAAATCCTCTAGAGCAGTGTTTCCCAAATTGTCATTAGTGCCCCCAAGAGTCTTTTTAGGTTTTTTCCCTAATTGCCCTTCATGAAATTTTATTAATAATACCATTAATATAATATATATCTGTATTATATACTATATGTATATCTTTACTTTATGTCAAGATTTATTTTGTCCCCTCAAGAATTATTCCTCCTGTTGATAATCCATGCTTTAACATTTCACCATTAACATGATGTTTGCTATTAATACTTTATTATGCAAACAAAATATTTAGTCTTAATTTCTTGGGGTTCTACTTTTAAAATTAGGAATGGATATTAAATTTTATCAAATAGTAGCAAATTAAAGTAATAGATTTCCAATTACTGAATTACTGTATAATCTAGGAATAAACAGTACTTGGTTCCATGTTCCAGTCCTTTAAACACTCCTGGATTTGATTTACTAACATTTTACTTAGGAGTTCTACATCTTTAATTTTACTTGTAATTGGTCTAGAATTATCTTCTCTTGTACTATTAATTTGCTTTTGGTATGCAGACACATTCAACATTTCAATATTATTGGGCAGTTCTATATCCACAGCAGCTGTGTTTCACTTACAGAAAGAATGTGAAGTTTCCCGTACTTGTCACCTTATAGTAGCTTAAATAGTATAGGAATAATCTGTTCCTTGTAGGTTTCCTATAAGTAGCTTCTAAAACCATCTATTTCTAGTGCCTTGCTGGGTATGAGTATTTGGGAATTTCTTTCATGCTTCTATGTCCGTATGTCTTAAGACAATTTTACTGTATTTTGAGAAAGTCAGAAATGTCATTTTGATTTTCAAATTTAATATGCTTTTATATGTAAAAATATATTTTCTCAGAGTTAGATGTGCCAATCAATGACTGTTTTACTAATTTTTATAGTCTTTGATGTAAGTTGTCAATTCTATTTTCTTTTTTCAGAAGAACCATGATCAAATTCATCACTTTCCACTTCAGTATTAACTCCTTTTTGCATTTTGCTATTTCCTTCCTACCTTTCTGGACTGAACACTTAGTCCATTTGTTTTCATTCTCTTTGCTTAATAACATTTAGAGCCACTATTTTTCCTACCTGTAGCTTTGATCATATAGCATTATTAAATAAAATTATGAAAAGCCACTGATTTGAACTGAGTTGCTGCATTACACCCAACAGAGCAACTCAAAATGGAGTCACTCATGCTAGGTTTCCAAATCACAAACCAAAATCTAAACTGTTTACCTGTAATATCTGACCTTGCAGGAAATCTTGAGGAATGCACTAAAGTTTCTTTTGTCGAATCTCTTTATTTACTTATTTAGTGAGCTTCCCTGATGCACATTTTAGATCAAGAGTCAGGAAACGGATTTAGGGGGACAGATCATTGTGTCAACAGGAGGCAGGACTAGATCGCAGGCCCAGACAGAGCAGCATAGGAAGGCTTGCATTGTGAATTTTAGCCCCAGATTGACTGCAAGAACAATACCAGTAATCTCAGACCCTCTGAAGGAAGTAAACTGCTCTCGCAGGACCCAGAAGACAATCCAAATACTGTGACTGCCCCAGCTGTGGAAGTGGGAAAGGGGGAACTTCCTCTCCCAAACACACACTCCCACTGAAGACGCTGAAGGTCTGTTTGCAGGAGAAGTTTCCGACTTTACCTGGAGCTGAGTCAATGTGGAGAGGCGAGTGAAATACAGGGGTAGAGGAAGCAGCAGAAAGGCCCTGGGAGCTCAGTGTGTCCCCTTGCAGGTCATTCCTGCCTGGCATCACAGGGATTCATCTGGAAGGTGGCCTGAGGAGCAGGGGGTGCAACTCCACAGGGAGAAGGAAATCTCTAACTGAACTTTGTAACAATTTGAACGGAGTGAGAAGCCTCCTGGCCAGAACTTGGGAGAGGACGCAAATCCGGTGTGCAGACTCCACAGGCAGGGAGAGAACCCAGCCTTTTTAGTTCACAGCTGGGAGGCAGGTAGCCTGGGGCAGATTTTTAAGCCTATCTTGCCACTCGGGGCTGTTGTGGGGGGGCATGGTGGTTGTGAGACCAGCCCTTCAGTTATGCGTGGGAGCTGGGTGAGGTCTGTGACTGCAGGCTTTCCCCCACTTCACTGACAAACTGCATGACTCAGCAGAGACAGCCATAACGCCCCTAGGTACACAACTCCACCCCCATCCCCCAAGACTCACCCATCCCCATTCCCCACCCCCCCCTCCCCCCCCCCACCACCTGATTGTCCTTCCCTACCCAACCTGGTAGCCGAAGACAAAGGACACACAACACACAATCTTGGGAGTTCTAGGGCCCCACCCACTGCCTGTCCCTCTCCACACTACTACAGCTGATGCTTTCTGGAAAGCACCGCCTGGCAGAAGGCCAACCAGCACAAAAAGAGAGCATTAAACCACCAAAGCTAAGGACCCTCCTCACGCAGTTCACTGCACCTTCTGCCACCTCCACTGGAACAACCGCTGATATTCACGGCTGAGAGACCATAGATGGTTCACATCACAGGACTCTGTGCGGGCAACCCCCAGTACCAGTGCAGAGCCGGGTAGACTCGCTAGGTGGCTAGACCTGGAAGAGAGACAACAATCATGCAGTTCGGCTCACATGAAGCCACATCCACAGGAAAAGGGGGAGAGTACTACATCAAGGGAACACTTTGTGGGACAAAAGAATCTGAACAACAGCCTTCAGCCCTAGACCTTCCCTCTGACAAAGGCTACCCAAATGAGAAGGAACCAGAAAACCAACCCTGGTAATACGACAAAACAAGTCTCTTCAGCAACCCCCAAAATCGCACTAGTTCACCAGCAATGGATCCAAACCATGAAGAAATCCCTGATTTACCTGAAAAAAAATTCAGGAGGTTAGTTATTAAGCTAATCAAGGAGGGATCAGGGAAAGGCGGAGCCAACGCAAGGAAATCAAATAAATACAAAAAGTGAAGGGAGAAATATTCAAGGAAATAGATAGCTTAAAGAAAAAACAATCAAAAATTCAGGACACTTTGGACACATTTTTAGAAATGTAAAATGCTCTGGAAAGTCTCAGCAACAGAATCGAACAAGTAGAAGGAAGAAATGCAGAGCTCGAAGATCTACAAATTAACCAATCGAACAATGACAAAGAAAAAAGAAGAAAATATGAACAAAGTCTCCAAGGAGTCTGGGGTTATGTTAAATGACCAAACCTAATAATCAGTATTCCTGAAGAAGACGACAATTCTAAAAGCTTGGAAAATGTATTTTGGGGGAACAATCATGGAAAATTTCCTCAGTCCTGCTAGAGACTCAGACATCCAAATACAAGAAGCACAAAGAACACCCAGGAAATTCACTGCAAAAAGATCATCACCTAGGCACACTGTCATCGGGTTATACCCAGTTCTGACTAAGGAAAGAGCTAAGACTAAGAGCTGTGAGACAGAAGCACCAGGTCATCTACAAAGGAAAACCTATCAGAAAAACAGCAGATTTCTCAGCAGAAAGCCTACAAGCTAGAAGGGTTTGAGGCCCTATCTTCAGCCCCCTCAAACAGAACAATTATCAACCAAGAATTCTGTATCCACTGAAACTATGCATCATATATGAGGGAAAGATACAGTCTTTCAGACAAACAAATGCTGAGAGAATTTGCCATTACCAAGCTAGTACTACAAGAACTGCTAAAAGGAGCTCTAACTCTTGAAACAAATTCTGGAAACACAACAAAACAGAACCTCTTTAAAGCATAAATCACACAGGACCTATAACAAAAATGCACATTACAAAGCAAAAACAAACAAAAAAACAAAAAAAAAAGTACACAGGCAACAGCAAGATGAATGCAACAGTACCTCACATTTCAATACTAACATTGAGTGTAAATGGCCTAAATGCTCCACTTAAAAGATACAGAACCACAGAATGGATAAGAACTCACCAACAAATGATCTGCTGCCTTCAGGAGACTCAGCATAAGGACTCACATAAAGTAAAGGGGTGGAAAAAGGCATTTCATGCAAATAGACACCAAAAGCCAGCAGGGGTAGCTATTCTTATATCAGACAAAACAAACTTTAAAGCAACAGCAGTTAAAAGGAAGGGGAAATTACGTAATGGTAAAAGGCCTTATTCAACAGGAAAATATCACAATCCTAAACATATATGCACCTAAAACTGGAGTTCCCAAATTTATAAAACAATTACTAATAGACCTAAGCAATGAGACAGACAGAAACACAATTAATAGTAGGGACTTCAATACTCCACTGACAGCACTAGACTGGTCATCAAGACAGAAAGTCAACAGAAACAATGGATTTAAAAGATACCTTGGAACAAATGGACTTAACAGATATATACAAAACACTTCATCCAACAACTGCAAAATATGTATTCTATTCAGCACCACACGGA